CTGCGAATGTACAAATGGAAGTAGAATGCGTGCCGCATCCCAAGACGGGATTGATCAATGGCAGAAGCTCTATTTTTATCCTTTATTAATCCATTTGAGGCGCTCCAAATGTTACTTTTGTCTCCATTGATAGGCCTGACACAGCTGAACAGTTTTAACAGCAACAGGAATGGCAAATTGGGATGGCGTCTGTGCGATTTCATCTGCCAAGGTGCTGAGCGTTGCAGCTAGGCTACACTACCACCCATTGCTTTCTTGTCCCCTGTAGGGTAGAAAGGGAAAACATAAATGTAACTTCACTACTTGACAGAATCTCTAGCTAACTGAAATCTGAAGTCTAAACTGCCCTGGAGACCTCAGAAGAAGCATAGGTCTCGCCGAAGATTATGCTTCTTCTGAGGTCTCCAAAGCAGTTTAGACTCGACTTCTACTCTTTTTACTTTCGGTCGAGAATTTCAGTCGCATCGCTGACCAGTCTTCTTTCTTTGCTAGTGATTTAGAGTTCTTATTTTGTCATCCAATTTGTCTCAGTGTACGTGTAAAGTCTGTCACTATCAAAATATGTGTAAACCTATTTGATGAATTTCGCGGTGGCACTTGCACCCCAACAACATACAATCAGAGCAACGACAGTTTGTTATGGATTGCTGCAGTTCGATTTTTGCCGAGTAGCAGTGGTCTCTCGATCAGCTATGAAGGCAGATGGTATGATGAGTTGACGGTTGAGGAATGGGGAATATATTATATCTACGATTATTTCTAAAGCAATCTGGCGATGATTCTTTTTCAGTAATTTTATACACCCCCCCCCCTCTTTTCAGGCGATTTCGATATGACCCAGCAAGAGATCTCGCTATAACCCTCACCACCATCAGCAAACTGGGGGGGGGAAAGGTTCCCCATTCCTTTCGCAACACTCCACGCCCAACAACCTACCTGATCTGCTAGTCCTCTACTGCCGGCCGGACTTTACCGGTCCTGTACTGCGGGCTTTGAGCAGCCTCATCTTTTCTTCGCTGTTGCACCTCTAAGCGGCTCTACTTCATTTACGGCGGATGACAATTTTCGCATACCTTTTGCCTCTAAACATATGTCCGTAGTGGGAGGATGGGGACCATAGCTTAACATATCGACAGTAGATACCATGGGATTGCATCCAGTTGGTTGCTACGAACACGGTAATCTGGTAAACATAATCTCATTAGCCTTTTAAAAATCGTGGTGATGAAACTCAGGATCCGGGAGCTGAAACGATTGCTGTTAGCAGCGGATTGCGGTAGTCCGATGAAGAGGATTCGCTCCCAATTTGTATAAATTAAATAATACACAGTTTCCATTTTGGCCTCAACGGGTGCATTACTTCTAAATCACGAAATCCATTCTGCTTTACAACGGATTTCATTACTTGTAACACGTGCAGTCTAATTTGTAAGGGTCATAGTACAGTAATTTTTTGTCGAGATGTTTACCGCTCGTTGTTAGTGGAACAGGACGAGTAGGCCTTCATTGCAAATAACCTGTTGCCTGTTCGCTATGCATGGCACGTATGCATATGCATATGTTTTCGGTAAAGCATTTTTCCGTCTGGGTTCATGGAGTGAAAGATTCAGAAGTTAGAGTGATTGTTCCAGGGATTCGCTCCGAATCCCTTGTTAGTGACGTCGTCGAGTTTTCGTGACAACTTTCAAAGTAAACAAGAACAGAATGACATTATGAAATTGATTTTCTGCGGTTTTTCTCAATCCATTATGCGCACACGTGTAGCTGAAAGCAGCAGTTGTTTGTTTACCTGGTTGGCGAATGTTTACCTTCGTCTACTGTGCAATCCTTTCGTATAGTTCAAAATTGAATAGAAAAAATGCAGACCATTTATTTGCCAAAATCAAACTCATCTGGAAAGCTAAGGAACTTTCTTTGCTGCTTTCCACTAATTGATGCCTTTACTATATGGAGTATATGGGATATAGGAAATGGTATGGGTAGGAGAAAGCTACTTAATACCAATTTGGAGATAAAGGATAAGGATAAAGCATTTGCCGTTGATCAATCCCTTTTGGGATGCGGCACGCATTCTACTTCCATTTGTACATTCGTAGTGGCGTTTGAATGCGATGTGGCCTATACAATGACTTGCGGGGGCCAGCCGATGTACAAGTCAGTGTTTTTATCCTCCCAGACAAGTCTGGTACCAATTAACCGACCCCGGAGGGATGGAAGGCTTGGTTGGCCCGGGCGACTCACGACCCAGGATTTGATCCCCGGACCGCTCGCGTGGTAAGCGTGCCACTTGCCACTACACCACTTCCGCCCCAACTAGGAGAAGCAGTAATAGCTTTTGAAAGTTATTTATTTTTGTCTGATGAGATGTTTCGATTGTTGCTCCACATTACTGTAACACAGCACCTCATTTAAACTCACAGCTACTCCTAAAGGTGGTTAAGCTATTCAAGATGAGCACGTGCGGATGGCTCCGCAGCATCTGCTGGGAGAGGTTACAGGATAGGGAAACAGGTTGCAGGGCAAGTTGTGACGTGCGCTGAAACTGACCCATGACTTGTTTTCGTCGAAGAGCAATATTGTGACCGATACCGTTGTCGGCAATGCTATAGAAACTGGAAGGAATGGCATGAATCGCGGTCGTGTTTTCATCGCCGACAAACAATGCTCAGAAGCGTACCCTGAAACATGCCACTTCTGGTCAGAACCGCAGCACTTGTACAAATTACTTGACGTCATCCAAACTATATACAAGCAATAGTCGATAAAGTAAGCTTGTTCCGTATGAGCTGTCACTTTGCTTTCAGTTCAATGACGTTGATCTCTATTTGATGTTTTGGCTTTTTTCAAATTCTTCTGCCTTAGTAAGTGAGAAGCGCCGTACGTGAAATTCAGCAGGGAATCTCTTTCCTCAAACATGGAATGCAAGTTTCGAATAAAATGACAAAAAATCGCTTTAGGCCTCTTTGGATAATCGCCTATGGCCCGTCCGACCTGTGTATTTCCTGGCTGGAGCGGCTTCGATCGGTGCCGTACAAGTGAGGATATCACCTGAACCGTTGTTTAGCTTCGTTCCAATCTTCACAAATCGACTGGCCGAGGTCAATTTCATCTACATACTCGTGAAAAATGTATATATATATATATACAGGGGGGGCCAAAAAAAGACATTTTGCCTATGTCGGACTTCGGCTCTTTTTTCTTCGCAGAGATTGCTGTCGTTGACGGGAGTTCCTCAGCAGAGTATTCCCTAAGTGTTCCTCTATTAGTGTACGCAGGCTCTCCTTCACTGCCCTCACCGTCTTCAGAATATGACGTCATCTGTCACCGTCGTCAGGCTCAAGGAGGTCTACCGTAAGAGCTTCAGCCTGAAGCTCTTACGCAATTTCGTGAATCGATTTAATGTTGGATAGTTTTCTAGAGGCATTAGCTACCACTGTGCAAATCCCCTCGGAACTAGCTTTCCAGTAAGGGTCGTTATGGTACACGATCCTTCGAAGACCCCATTGAGATCGACCAGTGCACCATGTTTCCAGGGCAAATTCTTCTGATGCCGTCCACGTACGTGGCCACTATGAAGATTTTCTTATAGAATGGAATGCGCTCTTTAATAATAAGTTGGAACCATTCGGTCTGAATTGAGCAAAATGTGCTTAAATCCATCTGGAAGTGGAGACAAAATGTCTTTTTTTTATTGGCCCCCCCTGTATATATATATATATATAATATATATATATATACATTTCGCGTTATGACGCAATGATGTGCGTGTTTCATTGGTGGCCACTAATGTCTGTATTTTACTACGGACAATTTCTGACGTTTTTATTTTTCGTACAAGGGCTTTTTGTTTGAAGATCCGAAGAAACCTTCACTCGTCACTCGCTTTTGGGGCGTAAGTTGTTAGAAAATTTGTCCCTCATATTCAAGATGGATTACCTCCTTTCAGCTTTGCCGCCAACTGCTAACTGTGTCTCCTCCTCTTCTCAAATCATGCGATAGCCTTCTTCCAAGCCCTAGTGTGCGAATCTTGAAGACACCGTAACCAGATATTTGACATCGATGAAGAGGATTCTTAGGAAGGTAAGGTGCAGCCATGTTGTGTGTTTATATGTACTGAATTGGTCTGGTAGTAGCCTCAACGGTTCAATTTCAGGACCAATTTGATTCATTGAAAGAGCAAGCAGAGTCATTCCTAAAGAACGAGGGCCCTCGCCTTCAGCTCTACGCATGGTTCATGTCGTTCACAACGTCCAACTATATCACGGCATTTTGGGAAAAGTACGCATACCTCTATAGCAGGTATGAAGAACTAGCTAGTTCTAGAGGTCGTGCGCAAGACAGAGACATGCAGCGATGTGCCGGAAATCGTTAGAGTTACCTCGTTCAGACAGCCACTCTTGATCAACAGCAGTGTAGCCCACATGGATTTTCTAGAAGTCCCCGAGAATCGAAGGTCCACTTGGGCTTACATGGCCGCTCGAGTTACATATTTTGAAGGAATGTCTCAGCTTGCCGTTGACAGGCAATCGCTTAAACCGGTGAGTTTGTACCTAATACTTATCTGGCTTAATCCACAGGTTTTGTTAAAAAAACTAAGCAAAAACCAAATAAGAAATTTTGTAATGTTCAAAAAAACTTCTGCAAGGAAACACATATTAAAGCAATTTGTGGACCACGTCGCACCGTAATTAAGTTCCTATAATAGTGTATGTAACGAACACAAAAAGGCTTCCAAAAATTGCGTCTGAGCGAAATAAATGAGCAAAATGAGTGCGGCATACATGACTGCCACGCTGTCCCCAACGTGCTGAAGTATCTGCAAAATCTGCCATGGTACGACAAAGAGACAGTAAGCGAGAAAACGAAAGAGCACGTTGTATGTGACTGGGCACAGATACACGGTCGATGCATACAGGGCGATAGGAGTGACACTTATGACCGCTCGAGACGGTCAGCAGAGCCCTGGCCTTCCACTTTCAATTTGCACGTGAGCGGAGCATGGGGTAACCCTTTCGCCAAACAATACATCCACTAGACGGATAACTTCAATAGTCCAATCATGAGGCAGTGTTCATATTAGTACAGGGGATCCGACGATAAAGTCGATGGTCGAAAAAGGGGAAATTCACCTAGTGGAATGATAAGAGGGCCTGCTGAAGGAGCGGACCGACACGCAAATCCGCAGCGAGGTTCTAGGCCGTTTTTTATAGTTTTTTATCATGCCGGGCACCACTGACCCCTTCCTAACTTAATGGCTGGCGTTGCTGATGCTGCTGGGCCGTAATGGGCTGAGCCGTCTTCTGATTGCATACTCCGCCATTAACACACGAGAGCGCACGTTTTTGCTTTTTCGACTCCATTAGCGAGCGAGCGAGCTTGCCCGACCTGAATCCATCGTGGGACCTTTAAAGTGGTTATATACCGGGCAGCGGGACTGGTCTTTGTGATATATATCGATTACAGATGATAGTTCTCGGAACAGAGCAGATTATTACTGTTGATGTTGCCGCTAAAATGCGATGCTGAGAAAAAATTCTTGTTTATTTATTAGTGTATTAATTTTGTTAAAATTAGCTGGGATCGGGCCTACTGTGCTCACGCCACTACGACAAGTTATACAGCGTATGCCGAGTTCCTGGTGAAGAAATGGACGAATTAGTCAATTACGGTGTGTCCTCTAAGAAATAAATAATCGCAAGATACCCGTGTTGAAAGTAGCTCTGCAGGTATCGCGAAACACGTTGTTGCTATTTACAACGGAATGTTCTACAAAGTGATGCTATGTGATGAAAGAAATCGAATGTATAGTATTGAGGAATTAACAAAGTGAGTCTCTCTTCCGTTTCCCCTTTTTACGTAGAATAAGTACATCTAAAGAATTTCAGAATTTATGCAGAGATTTTTTCTCGGAATGAAAAGGTCACGGGAGCCGCTAGCCGAGTGGCCGCACTTACCGCTGCACGTAGGTGAGTGGGCTACTTACTTACCTACTTTAGGTTTTGATCCAGAAAAGGACTTTAGGGATAATATACCCATCTCTTTTCTTTATCCTCGTCTCACTGGAAGAAGGGTTGTACAATCAAGTCGGAGGTTGGGGAAGATGAAATGGACCCAGTGGAAAGGCAGACGAGCTCCCTAAGGGTGGGGGAAGCGCGTTCTGCAGGGAAGAAAATGCCACTAGCTGACTAGCAGCCTGCTAGTAGCAGGGTTGTGCAGGAGTGCCATTCGCGCCTCTGCACGCCCGCTGCTTGGTAACTTCTCGCCGTCTGTCTTTAGCTCAACAGAGAGAGCGTTAGCATCGGAGGGGATAGCGCCGATGAGAGTCGCATCAATGCGGAAATCAACTGGAAAAGAATGCGCCTCATTCCTCGGATTCTGGGTCGTTTTTCATGATTTTCCTCCATAGCGGGACCACTGACCACCTCTACCTTATTTCCAGTTGGCTGCCTTTTCATCGTAACCTCTGCCTTTAAGTCTGTAGTAGATTTATGATATCTTGTTGTAGTTTTATCATTTCTTTCAGAGACGAGTGGGCTCGGAATAGAGAGAAGTTTTTCTTGAAAAATCCGACGAATGCGGCAACATTGCGCGAGATCGAGTCGGCCGCCTTTATGCTAACACTCGATGATGCCGAATACTTCACCTGATCCAGTAAGTTTGATCCCAATTTAGTGCGAAATCTCATACGAAACTAATATGAACATTTTCAGAAGGATCCAGATACTATGTCACATTTTCTGAAAAATATGCTAACTGGTAATGGTGCGAATCGCTGGGCAGACAAATCGCTGAATTATGTGGTCGGAAGAAACTCACGAGTAAGTTTTAGATGGAAAAATCCCGAGAAATCCGACGAATCTCATTTCTTTCGAAGCACTTGTCTTCTCTTCAAAACCTTGTAACCATTTATGGCAATGTAGCAAGGTCGAGCATACCGTAGGTGGATTGCTCAGGTGTACCAAGCTGTACCTAGAACTTGGACAAAATATACTAGCTGGTCAACAGCGATGTGATTGGCTGCTCACCTCTTTTCTTTATCTTTCCTTTCCTATCTTCTTAATTTCCATTGCAGTGACGTACTTCAGTGCAGGAAGAGTTTGCCTCAACTTCGCTATCCGTTGACAAACACATGGAAAAACCAGACTGTATATGCCGGTTCACCTGACTAGACGTTATTGATTTTTGTTATATAAATATTAGTTGCGTTAAATTCAGATGAAAATTAACTCTAGGTTGAGGTTGAATGAATCCAGTGTGGCCCAGTGTAATACCCAGTGCGTGACGAACACGGCAAGTGACGTCAAGAACTCGACATTCGCTATTGGAGCTACCGATTGTAGAACATGCAACTGGGGTTGAGTTTGAAACGGACCATTCAGAGCACACCCTATGACCAAACTGGTGTAAATCTTGCGCAGGAAATTTGAGGCAGAGGCGCCAAGTAGAGCCAGTGAAAAAAGAAATGGACCCGTTGAGAAACGCTGAGCTGACAATCAAGGGCTTCCCGGTTTCTGTAAGTTTTGCTAAGACAATGAGACAGTGAGCACAACGAAGAGAAGAGATTCGAAGGGCACATTGCTGGAGAGTTCGCAGACCACCAACATGTTGGGCGTAAATGAGAAAAAAAAATGAAGGCGGTCCGAGCGGTTATTCGCCAAACCTCTCCAGTCGCCATTTGTCGCACATTTTCGGGCCACGAGACGGGATATCGAAGGCGTCTACTCACCAAATGAATTAATTCCTCTGAGCTCATCGTAGGGTGTGCCTTTATTATGTACGATTTGCGCGCACGGTACATATCTTCTCACTTTAGCCATTGTGTGGATTTTGCCGTCATAACTTCTTCTTGTCAAAGTTCTCTAGCCTTTTTCGAAATGTCCGCAACACTTGCAGTATCACTTTCACTCATCACAACTGCTTGAATTTAGTGCGGTGGAACATCGGAGCACTCGATCGCAGATGGAGCAGAGTTCGACCACATTATGGAGAACTTCACTGCGTTCGAGATACTTACACCGTCAGTGTTAAATTTTTTTCTTGGCAGCTCTAGGAAGGTGCTCATTTATCCTATCCAATTCTAGATATCCCCTTCTGGAGGAGCAACGAAAAATCGAAAAAATAACTGAAAATGACCGAGACGTTAAACTTGCAGTTCGATTGCCTGTTGAAGTCAATTCGGAGGTGAGATGCATTCAAATCGATGAAGTGACTACCTTCTATCAGATCATGGCCACGAATAATATTACGGTTATAATATTCGGCTAAATGCATTACAGCATCAATAAAGGAAACTATTTTACTCAGATGGCTTCTGCTATAGAAAGCAGCTATTCCGAGTATTCGAAGTCGCGTGACGACCTGGACGTCGCCGCCACATTATTCAGGTATTTCACGCACTTTTGTGTTTTCACATGTAAGCTGAAGCTACGAATCGGGATTAGGTTCCAGGAGCCAGTCCATCTTACACTGAGAAAGGGGGGGGGGGGGGTCCCCAAGCGCAAGAAGCGCCGCAACACTTTCACGAAGATCCCGCCTTGTGTGCCCCCGTGCTGCCATCCTTATCAATCGCGGCATACGTGGCATCTGCGCCCTCTCGTGTACGACATGCTCTCTCGCGTTTTCCCTCTCCTCGCAGCGCTGTGTCTCTCCTCATACCACGGCCGACTTCACAAGGGAAATTTTGTGTTTTCTATGGCGCTTTTGCTTTTTCCTCCCACTGACGTTCCTTATCTCACTTCCTGTCAAGTTTTCGAACAAAATAACACACCAACGCGATCCCAACCCCTGCCTTTAAGGCCAAAACCTGTTGTTTATTTCGATAGCTTCCACTATGTTATCCACTTGGTATGGCTCAGAAAATCCACTCCGCGGCAACACTAGCGAGAGCGACGTCGCGTGAATGGCACAGCAATAAAGAGTACCGTATCCCTTCGTATACCCGACAGGAGGCCCGTCACGCGGCAAGAGGGGGGAGGCGGAGACGGAGGCGGGTCAGCGGACAATTCGAAGCGCGTACTCTGCGATGTGAGATGTAATAGGGTACATTCTATTAACTAGAATGTAATCATGGTAACTTGAAGCTAAATCGTTACAGTACGCGCTGCGACTCGTCCGCTAACCCGCCTGCATCACTGCGTTCATGTCGCGCGACGGTCCTCCTGTCGGGTGCCCTATGCCTTCAAGCCCAAATCCAGACATACCATGATCCTTTTCCTTTCCACTTCTTTGCTTTCTTATTGCTTTCTTATCTTTTCCCTAAGATTATGGACTATTTAATAGTTCCGGAATCGCACCCCAAATTATAGTACATAATGGACCTAATTACTGTCGCCCTAATGAAAGCGTTGCAGCTGGTCAAGTCAACTAACCTACACGCAATCGCAAAGTGGATCTCCTTACCCGCACCTTCATCCTTTAATTTCAGAGATTTCGGAAAAGGTCTCATCAAGAAATGTGGACTTTCCCCGGATGCATTTGTACAGATGGCAATTCAGTTGGCAAACTATAGGGTGGGAAATCAAGAGGATTCATATGGACGGCAACTGATACTTCGTTCAAGCTACAGCTTA